TGGCGCTGAAGCTCGCCTGGGCTCGAAAAATAGGCTCACAAACATCTCGCAAAATTTGACACGTTTTCTTTTATATCTTTTTACCTGTAAATATTTTGTTAAAACATGTAGTACAAAAGATGTGTAAAATGATAAGACCTTTCATTTGATATCAAGAAAAAAGGGCTGATCCCTTAAATTAGGGGCTCAGAGGGGCCAAAAGTCTTTCATGTATAACTCTTGAACGATCAATATTTTGTAATAAATTACTGAAGCAAAAATGTTCATCTTAACGATTTGCAACTATATGTTTTAAAATTTTGATCATATGTTACGTAATAAGGGGCCAAATGGACCAGAATGCTAAATCTTTGACGCTTTATATCTCAAAAAGGGGGAATATTTTGAAAAGCAATATTGAACAAAAGATGTTCAGAATAATGTTCTAAACGATATGCAACCTTTCAATTTTTGCAAAACGGCACCATTAAGGACTTGAAGGGCTGGCCCCTAAATATTTGAATTCAGCATATCTCGAAAACGAAAATAGATTTCTGAATAGTTGTTGAACAAAAAGTCTTCAAAATCACAAGATCTTTCATTTGATATCAAGAAAAAAGGGCTGATCCCTTAAATTAGGGGCTCAGAGGGGCCAAAAGTCTTTCATGTATAACTCTTGAACGATCAATATTTTGTAATAAATTACTGAAGCAAAAATGGTCATCTCAACGATTTGCAACTATATGTTTTAAAATTGTGATCATATGTTACGTAATAAGGAGCTACAAGGGGCCAGAATGCTAAATCTTTGACGCTTTATATCTCAAAAAGGGGGAATATTTTGATAAGCAATACTGAACAAAAGATGGTCAGAATAATGTTCTAAACAATATGCACCCTTTCAGTTTTTGTGAAACGGCCCAATTAAGGACTTGGAGGGGTGGCCCCTAAATATTTTCAATCAGCATATCTCCACAAAGAAAAGAAATCTCTGAATAGTTGTTGAACAAAAAGTCTTCAAAATCACAAGACCTTTCATTTGATATCAAGAGAAAGGGGTGACCCCTAAAATTAGGGGCTCTGAGGGGCCAGAAGCCTGTCATCTATAGCTCTTTGATAATGTTACATAAATCAAAAGAATGAAATCTTATTAGGGAAGTCTATATATTATTACTTTTTAGTTTTAACAAAGATCATAGTCAAAATAATATCTCATCTTATCGAAAAATCGGACGGAAGACCTACTCGTTGCTCGCAACGAGATCTCATCTAGTTATTATTATTATTTTTCTTCCAACCGATTTTGTGCACGCGATTTCTCAGAAACGGCTTGGCCGATTTACATCAAACTTTCAGACGTGAAAGATAATCAACTGATCTTGATAGGTTTTTTTGGTTTTTGATGACGTCACTTCCGGTCGTGAGATATGGACGATTTTCTGATTTTCAGAGGGTCAGCTTGTCCTGGGGTGTTCTCCTAAACGAATAGAGATATAGGGATAAGATTTTCAGTGAAGATAGAGGAAAGATTGTAGATGTGCCATTTTGCATCTATATGTTTCCAGCTCAAAAGGCACTGAAGCTCACCTGGGCTCGAAAAATAGGCTCACAAGCATCTCGCAAAATTTGACATGTTTTCTTTTATATCTTCTTACCTGTAAATATTTTGTTAAAACATATATTACAAAAGATGCACAAAATGACAAGACGTTTCATTTGATATCAAGAAAAAGGGGCTGATCACTCAAATTAGGGGCTCAGAGGGGCCAAAACTCTTTCATATATAACTTTTGAACGATCAAAATTTTATTATAAATTACTGAAGCAAAAATGTTCATCTTAACAATTTGCAACTATATGTTTTAAAATTTTTATCATTTATTACGTAATAAGGGGCCAGAAGGGGCCAGAATGCTAAATCTTTGACGCTTTCTATCTCGAAAAGAGAGAATATTTTGATAAGCAATACTGAACAAAAGATGGTCAGATTATTAATTTAAACTATATGCAACCTTTCAATTTTTGCAAAACTGCCCCATTAAGGACTTGAAGGGCTGGCCCCTAAATATTTCAATTCAGCATATCTCGAAAACGAAAATAAATTTCTGAATAGTTGTTGAACAAAAAATCTTCAAAATGACAAGACCTTTCATTTGATATCAAGAAAAAAGGGCTGGTCCCTCAAATTAGGGGCTCAGAGGGGCCAAAACTCTTTCAAGTATAACTCTTGAACGATCAATATTTTGTTATTAATTACTGAAGCAAAAATGTTTATCTTAACGATTTGCAACTATATGGTTTAAAATTTCGATCATATCTTACGTAATAAGGGACCAAAAGGGGCCAGAATGCTAAATCTTCGATGCTTTATATCTCAAAAAGGGGGAATATTTTGATAAGCAATAGTGAGCAAAAGATGTTAAGAATAATGTTCTAAACAAAATGCAACCTTTCAAATTTTGCAAAACTGCCCCATTAAGGACTTGAAGGGCTGGCCCCTAAATATTTCAATTCAGCATATCTCGAAAACGAAAATAGATTTTTGAATAGTTGTTGAACAAAAAATCTTCAAAATCACAAGACCTTTCATTTGATATCAAGAAAAAAGGGCTGATCCCTTAAATTAGTGGCTCAGGGGGGCCAAAAGCCTTTTATGTATAACTTTTGAACGATCAATATTTTGTTATAAATTACTGAAGCAAAAATGTTCATCTTATCGATTTGCAACTATATGGTTTAAAATTTTGATCATATGTTACGTAATAAGGGGCCAAAAGGGGCCAGAATACTAAATCTTTAATGCTTTATATCTCAAAAAGGGGGAATATTTTGAAAAGCAATATTGAACAAAAGATGTTCAGAATAATGTTCTAAACAATATGCAACCTTTCAATTTTTGCAAAACGGCCCCATTAAGGACTTGGAGGGCTGGCCCCTAAATATTTCAATTCACCATATCTCGAAAACGAAAATAGATTTCTGAATAGTTGTTGAACAAAAAGTCTTCAAAATCAAAAGACCTTTCATTTGGTATCAAGAAAAAGGGGCTGACCCCTCAAATTAGGGGCTCAGGGGGGCCAAAACTCTTTCATCTTTAACTCTTAAACGATCAATAATTTGTAATACATTCCTGAAGCAAAGATGCTTATCCTAACAATTTACAACAATATATGATACGATACTGATCATACGTTACGTAATAAGGGGTCACAAGGGGCCAGAATGTTAAATCTTTGACGCTTTATATCTCGTAAAGGGGGAATATTTTGATAAGCAATACTGAACAAAAGATAGTCAGAATAATGTTCTAAACAATATGTACCCTTTGAATTTTTATCAAATGTCCCCATTAAGGACATTGAGGGATGGCCCCTAAATATTTCCATTCAGCATATCTCCACAACGAAAGGAAATCTCTGAATAATTGTTGAACAAAACGTTTTCAAAATCACAAGACCTTTCAGTTGATATCAAGAAAAAGAGGCTGACCCCTCAAACTAGGGGCTCAGAGGGGCCAAAAACATGTCATCTATAGCTCTTTGATAATGTTATAGAAATCAAAAGAATGAAATCTAATTAGGGAAGTCTATATCTTATTATCTTTAAACAAAATCATAGTCAAAATCATATCTCATCGAAAAATGGGACGGAAGACCTACTCGTTGCTCGCAACGAGATCTCATCTAGTTATTATTATTATTATTATTATTATTATTCTTTTTTATTCTTATTTCTTCTCCGGTACTTTTTTGTCCGCGAGTGTTCTCGGAAACTGCACATCCAATTGAGTTAAAACCTTTTTAGGGTTACTAGGCATGTTATGTAGATTTGCGGAACGAAGATCGTTTTGCGCGCACGTGCACGCACGTGCGTGCGCGTGCAATGCGTAAAATGACCAATATACATAATATAGCTATAACTTTTATATTTTTTGATGAAATGCTTTGATACTCAGAATACAAGGATATATTAAAAGTGTAGACAAGATGACATGGTCAACATGCACATGCATGCACGTGCGCGCACGCGCAAATCGCAAAATGACCAATTTACTTGATATAGACGTAACTTTTATATTTTTTGATGAAATGATTTGATACTCAAAATATTTATATATATTAAAAGTGTAGACAAGATGACATGGTCAACATGCACATGCATGCATATGCATGCACGTGCGCGCGCATGCAATGTGTTAAATGACCAATATATTTAATATAGTCGTAATTTTTATATTTTTTGATGAAAAGCTTTGATATTAAGAATATACAGATATATTACAAGTGTAGACAAGATGATGTGGACATCATGCACATGCATGCACATGCGCGCGCGTGCAATGTGTTAAATGATTAATATACTTAATATAGCTGTAACTTTTATATTTTTTGAGGAAAAGCTTTGATACTATGAATAAACAGACATATTATAAGTGTACACAAGATGGCATGGTCATTATGAACATGCATGCAGGTGCGCGTGCGCGCAATGCTAAGATGTCCAGTATACTTGATATAGCCGGAACTTATATTTTTGATGAAATGTTTTGATACTGAGAATATAAAGATACATTAATAGTATAAACGGGATGACATGGTCATACTGCACATGCATGCACGTGCACGCGCGTGAAATGGAAAAAACGATCAATATACTTCATTGCCTTATTTAATGAAGCTTACAGGAAATAAGACACCAAAAGGGAGTTGGGGAGCGTTTGGGGAACATCTGTAACGGTCCCCGTTACAATTATAACTAGTTTGTAAAGGAACAATTCAGAGCTTTAACCATAAATTGATCAACGGAAGAAAAAAAGTAATACAGGAATGTAATAAATATCATTAAAATGTGGACTCCAAAAATATGTTACAAACAGGATGCACGTAAACATATCGATTTCAAAATTTATACACTTGGCTGCAATTTGAAAACTACAACTTAAAAGTGTTTATGTACATAATTTAAAAAAATTATATATTTTGTGAAATGAATTAGAATACATTGTACTTTTTCTATTTCAGCTGTTTCAGTAAAATGTTTATATAACAACATGCATTACAATATTGGAGAGCAATCGACATCACTAGACGGTTGTAATTTATGTACCTGTCAATCAAATGGCGAAATGAGTTGTACTGTCAATAAATGTAACAACGGTATGTTGTCCAATAAATGAAACAATGCATGTTTTAAATGAGTTGTACTGTCAAAAAATGTAACGAGTAATTTGTACAAACAGTAAATGAAAAAAAGTTACTAAGTAAAGTTATCTACGATCATTAGAGCAGGTTTATGAAGAGTTGTTAAACAAGACTCAAAAATCTAAACTATAAGTAAAATTGCCCAAATTTCAGGATGCTTATGGCTAAAAAAATGCACCAAAAGTAAATAGTTATACAATGCAATTATCTTAATTTCAAAATAATTCTGAACTCAGCTTTTTCATTTATTTTCTTTGGTTTAATTTCAGATGACAAGTAATGCGAGCGTGATGTCTGGTAGAAGAGAATTCCAATACCATCCTCATTTCACATTTGTTTATAATTTATTTTCATCTAGTTCATTTTTTGAATGCACATACTACTTAAACGTTTAACTATCAAATAAAAATATAAAATGTGTGTGGATGTAATGCATTTTTATTCAAAACATTCATCATATTGGGAGCACATTCTTAGATTTAGCTTCTACAAACAATTCTCTGTGTACATCTGATCTCATAAAATCAGCATTAAAAATTTTGAGAAGAAATGTCACCAACAATGGCAACGAAAGTGTCAAAACTACATAAATGTTATAGGGAATAGCAGGGGTGGATCCAACAGGAGAAAACCAGAGGCCACGCCGAGATCCATCCCTAATGTGGTGAGATGTCCAGGCAATGAAACACATTACAGAGAGAAGTTTGATCCACCCCTTGTTTAAAATGTATCCAGTAATGAATATAATGAGAGATATCAAAAGGGTCAAGGTCGTTGAGTGGAGGAAAGGTCGTGACTTCAGTGACAATGCTGCCTGAAATACAAAATATATCTGAAAATATTTACACTACACAAATTTTTACACATGCCAAATTTGTGTGTGTTGTTTTATATCTAGTCCAGATAAACAATATTTTCAATCAATTACTTACAATAAATGTAAAATTATTGAACTTTATTATCTATGTTTTAGTTACAATGCATAGATTATGAAAGTACAGTTATTTATCTGTACTTATTCAACACTTTGAGGAGAATTAAAGTTTGTGGTCATGCAGATTAAAAAAAAATTGAATACTGACAAATACTGTATCTTCATTTTTGAATATTAAGTAACATTTGATTCCAAGCAGGTTAGGATACACACTACATTTATTTCATTTTATTGTTAGATATTTCTTTAATAGAATATCACATTAAAGTCTTGGTCTTGGCCCTGGTATAGATCTGCAGCCATAGGGGCAGCTATTGGCTCATTGACAAGTCAGAAGAGTGGTAGCCCAAGATCCAAGGGAGTGTCACAGAAAGTCTAAAACACTTGTATCATGCACTATTAGGTTTATAATACATGGTGTATAAAACTGTATATATATTATTTACCTGGAGAGACAATGACCTGGCTGCGATGAAGTGGTCAGCATCTATAGCCATGGCAAGGAGTCCACACAACAGACATTCCACAAATTCCTTGTAGTTTTTCGCCTGAACAATGATTGCCCATGAGAAAAAGGCCACGCCCCAATGTGTGAAACTGTCAATCAGTGCTCTTGGAAGGTTACCATGAGTACTTTTTACAGTTGAAGGAAGAAAGTCACCCAAAAGACAAGTGAAGAGTAGGGCTAACTCGTACAAGATAACATGGCCTAACATTCAGTCTGTTACCAAGTCTGAAATTTTATATGAACATACAAAAAATGATAATAATAGATGTTAGTCATTTTTTTCTTTCTTCTTGATGGAAAATAATAAAAAAAAATGTACTGTAACACAGTACCTGCATGGGATGGAAATCCTGCATTTCTCATTGCCTTTCTTTAATATACTGCTGGTACATGTATACAGTGTATGTGTACTTAAGTTCATTTAGTAAGTCCCAATGACATGAATAACTCAGTATAAGAGAATTTGTATAAGAGTTCTGAAGGTAGCAGTCTACCATTACCATACTAGCTGTTATAAATTATCAGATATCTTATGGATTCATAAGTTCTCTCTATATAAATTATTGAGTTCCCCCGAGTCCCAATCATGGTCTTATTGGATAAAAACCTATTTGCCTAAATGCTTCAATGAATAAAAGAACCCTTCATCTTTCTAAACATTACATTTGAAGAAAAAAATTTGTTTGATATTAGAAAAAAAGTTTTATAAGTCTTTGATTTAAACAGAGGCACCTAAAATTGCAAATAAAGCCTGCCTAGAACTCTCTCTCACTCTCCCCCCCCCCCCACCCCTTTTATATTTATAGAGATGGTAACCTTTTTTCTATCAAAGGCTTTAATTGCAACTAATTGATAAAATTCCAGGTGTCTATGGGAAAAATCACCGGTAACGGGATGTTTCGCACCTATGCATGGTTCGCCCCACGATGTTTCGCGCCAATTCTGTTTCGCGCTGAGATGGTTCGCCCCACGATGTTTATATAAATGTGCTACTGAGTTTAGTTCATTTAACAAAATTTTAGATTTTAAATATATGTAAATATAGATCATGTAGATATTTTTGGAACATTTTTTTTTTTAAATTTAAGAAGATTATATTTGAAGCAGAGACCTAAATTATTTATCATGTTTATGTAGATGTGTTTGAAGTGTACATACATAGCATAATTATGAATTATTGTAACACTGTGCTAATTACGTATATATACAAAAGATAATTATAATACCGCCATCTAATTAAGTAATTATTGCTGGCTTGGACAACCCACACATCAATTTAAATTCTAACCTTTTGATCTCCAACTTATCAGTTACATAGAATCACTGTTGAATTGTTGATCTTTTATTTGATAAATAATTTAAAACGGATCAAAATGTGATGAAACATTTAAAATAAAACATGCGATGTTTCGCGTCGAAATCGGCGCGAATCATCCTGGCGCGAACCATCTCAGTGCGAAACGGAATGGGCGCGAAACATCCCGGATTCAAATCCCCCCCCCCCCCTTTTCATAGAAAGAGGATGACGGTCCTGAAATAATCATTTTATATCCACATTATATTTAATCCCTTTTCTGCTTTTTGTATTACTTATGTGCAATTAATGTAAGATCAATACTCACAAGACAAAACCATTTGGACACGTATAAATCAACAGCTGTGACAGGTGGAGTGGATTTGTTTACATAGTCTAGGTCACCTACACGTTTGTCGCATCGATATAGCCTCACACCAAACGTCTAGGAGCATTCCACGATAAATATTTATACTTCAGAACGAGGCTTATCCAGAATTTGATAAAGCCTGTGATTGGTTGAGGTAAAAAAAATGGCCGAAACGTTTGACAGGAGGATCACCAGAATTTTGGCTGATCTTAAAATTGATTTTCCTTTAAAAACATTACAGAAAGTATGCCTGGAAAAATTAGCAAATAGGTTGGACGTATTTGCAGTGTTACCGACAGGTTATGGGAAGTCTTTGTTGTACGCTATTTTACCGAAATTGATGCTTGAAGTTGAAGATAATTTGCAGTGTGCAATAGTTCTTGTCATTTCGCCGCTGGTTTCTCTTATGAAAGACCAAGTTGCTAACTTGAAAAAATACAGCGTGGAGTCTATTTTCCTTGGAGAGGAGCACGACAGAGGTTTGTATATAGCCTATACTATAGCATTACACTAGGTTAGATCGACCAAATAATTTAGGTCATTAGTCATCCCGAGATCCGGCACACACAGTGTGTACAGGTGTAGGCGTTTGCAGATGATATAATCAAACTTCTAATCACTTATTAAATTTAAAAAAAAATGTAAAGAAGAATGTGTTTAGTTTGACAGCACGTTTATAAATGATATACTTTTAAGATGCTTTTATTTTTTTTATTTAGACAAACATTACATAACATTGTTTTGACTTGTCTAAAACAGATACTAGGTCCTTGTTTATGGCTTCAGATATTTTGGAATTTTTATTTATTTATTTTTTTGTCATTTCAGACACATTGGAACACATTCAGGAAGGCAAATTTCCTATCGTTCTTATGAGCCCGGAGGCTTATTTCAGTGGTTCATGGAGAGGGTTATTGACATCTCCACCATATCAGAAGTTTGTACAATCCATTGTGATTGATGAGTGCCACTGCGCGGAACAATGGTGAGTCATATAAAGGAAGAATATTTATTTTATAAATCAAGCAGCTATCACATTGTCAAACATCATTAAATTAAATACACATTTTATTAACAGGGGAGACCAGTTCAGAACAGATTTTTCTAGGATTGGAGAATTGAGGAGTATTTTTCCAAAGGCAAACCTATTAGCCCTTACAGCAACTGCAACTCCAAAAACCAGAAAACATATTGCAGAAATCCTTTGCATGAGAAATTATGAATTGGTCATTACCAGCTGTGACCGACCAAACATAATGCACGTTTCCATCCGAGCTCCAAATACAGTTCAAGACACTTTTTACTGGTTGTGTTCAAAAATCCAGGAGCAAAAACATGAAACTGAAAAATGCATTATATACTGTAGGAATATCAAGACTTGTGGAATTCTTTTCCTGTATTTAAAAGAAAATCTTGGTGCTGAAAATTCGTACAAAGGAACTCCATCTGCAAGAAATTGTTATTATGCAATGTATCATCATTCTACCTCACAAAAAAATAAGAAAATTATTATCGAAACATTTCCAAAACAAGACAGTGCTATACGTGTTATAATTGCAACCACTGCATTTGGGATGGGAGTTAATATTCCAGATGTTAGAGTAGTAATACACTGGGGTGCACCACATACATTTCAGTCATACATGCAGCAAAGCGGCCGAGCAGGGAGAGATGGACTTCAATCTTTGTCTGTTGTATACTTCCATCCAACAGACATCAGCAAAACTGCAACAGACGAGAACTGTAAAACATTTTGTACAACACAATCATGCAGAAGAAAATACTTAGTCCAGCATTTTACTCCTGAAGATACCACCTGTGTTGCGGACTTACATACATGCTGTGACATATGCAAGTCTTCATGTTCATGCTCAGCATGTCCCGATTTACATCCATCATGTCTCATTATTGAAGATAATGACATGGTACAGGCACTGACCGAATCTGAAAGTCGTTCATTTCGGACTGTTACCCACACTCAAAGATTGTCCATCAAACGGAAGATAGAGGAATTAAGAAAAAAAATGATATCCGATCTTAATATCAATACATCTATTCTAAACATTGGATTACTAACTGGTTTAAGTGAAAAAGTTATTGAGGATATAGTTTCAAATGTTCATTATATTTTTGCAACTGAAGACATCTTAACAGAGCATGTATATGATGAAGAATTGGCACAAAATATCCTTAATATTGTTGAAGACGTTCTTGGTGTTGAAGAAAAATAAAAAAAATATCTCATACAATATCAATTTATTTGACTCAACCATTAGTAAATTCATATAATATTCATACAGTAAAACATGCTTATGGTGAACATACCTATAATTAATTGACACAAATAGCAAAGTGATTTTCTTTCCCTGTGAGTTTTAAACATTTTGTAAAGCTAACAGATATATAGCAAAGTATGTTTATAACATAGCAAAATCGCCATCCCTGGCACTTCATTATAATTAGTGTGTTTTACTGTATTCCATTTAAATCTATGTACACTGAATTATTAAAAAGCTTTTTTCCCAACAGCATATTCTTTTTTCTTAACAGTTATCCACTTGTGGAATTCCTTGACATCAAAGTCATTGAAAATGTCAGACTTCTCATGCTGGAATGATGCATGGTACCTGTTCGGTGTAAATGTGAACACATCTGCATTTTGCAATTCTCTTACCACTTTCTGTAAATCACTTGTTGAATCTTGTGACACATGTTTCCTTGAAATTGGCACACCTTGAATCTGCTTCTCTAGGTGATGGTTTACATCATGGCAGAACATCATGGTCTTTCCAATACGTTTCACTAGTTCTGGAGAGTGATTTTGATTCACCAATTTTACACGTGATTTAGCGTATTTGTTCAAAAGTTCCATGACATAGTCACCATCAAGATTCCTTCCTTTGCCCCCACTCAAATTAATGAATCTGTTCCAAATTATTTGGTGCTTTATTCGAGGTGTATACAGTGCCATTATACCAGCCTGGAGGAGAAAAGCTTCCAGTCTATATTTGACTTTGTGAGCTGTGTGGTACAAAAGCATCGCATATTTCCAATGGCGAATGACCCTATTTCCATCACCACTTCTGGTGGCCATCACACAGATTTTCCTCAGTAAGGAAAATTTCAGAAAATTAGTTGCATAGTTAAATACACCATCTTGTTGGTGACCGTGACCATCTGTTGCATCATCTTCATTTTCAAGCCTCTCGATGCTTTGGGATATTTTGTTGAGGAGGAGTTCATCCACTAATTCTCCAATCATGTGTTTTAGTGTTCGCTTTTTTAGAGGCACATCCGCTAAGTGAATTCCATTTGGAATTCGTATGCATTGACTATTGATGTCAGTCATTCCAAAAAAGGTTAACGCTGCTGCAATAACATGACCTTCACAGGCTATATCTACAAATGCACCAATTGCATGATAATCTTTTGATGCATTTTTGGTAACATTTCGTCTGTTTATTAAGCATTTAAGTTGGTATAATGTTCCTACTTCTCTAGCACTGTCTACACTGTAAAATTTGTCCATCAGCATCTAAAATATATATAAGGAAAAATATTTAAATTTTATAAGAAATAATACACATGTAATTGGGCGAGTTTCATGTTTTATGTAATCATAAGCAGTCATTCAAACCTGGATAAAGTTCATCTTTTCATGAAAGTCTTCTATCATACTCATGCACCCTTCAAGTCGTTCCTCAGGTGTATCACTATCTAACCGTACCATATGGGCTCCTCTTACTCTTTCACAAGAAAGCTGATCCCCACCAAGTGGTATTGTTCTCATTGCAGAATTTTCTTCTCTATTGATGTAATAACATCAAAATATTATACTGGTAATATTTTTTTAATAAAGGAATGAAAGAAACTTTCCTTACTTTAAGGACATACGCAACGTACCTTACCTACTGATAATTTTTCAAGATATTCTTAATTTAAGATTATAGTGCCATCAGATGTTCGTAGACAAAAAATCAGCATGCATTACCAGGGGTTTTGAAAAGATATTCATTGATGAAAATTCTTGTGTAATTCAAAGAAAAATATACAAAAATTATTAAACACGTATTCTAGATGTTTTGTTTATCCAAAATTGTTTTAGAAGAAGTGTACAACAGCATATATAGACATTAAAATGTAGCACACAGTTCCTTCAAGTTTTGGAACTCTTCAACTCCAGGGAAAAAGACAATAAAGTTCAAACTACGTTGCATATGTCTTTAAGTTTAAAGCATATAAAAATATAGTCAATGGTTAGCTAATACACATGTACAATTACTAACTAACCGGACTTCAACATTTTGCAATTCCTCTTCACGTCTTGAAAATGGTACAAACTGATGCAAATACTCCAAGATCTCTACCATGTCATTCATTTTATTTTCACTCTTTTCCAGTATACCCAGTGGTAGCTAAAGACAAAAATTCACATATACAGCATGTATTTAAAACAAGAAAATTACCATGGACAGGATTGACAATCAAAGGGAACAAGTCTGTATAAATAGCAAAATTAACTTTGATTGCTTCACTGTGACAAAAGAAATATTATTTACCATTAGCATTATCACTTTTTGCTTAAAATTCAAGAACATGTATACATATATCTAATAAATAGAACTTACACTTCTTTCTCAAGTTTTAAATATTTCTTCATTATGCCCAACAACAGCCTGTAAATTCATTTACATGCAAAAAAAGCAATGCTACAATGTTAAAAATAACATGTTATTCAACAAAATATTAGTCAGTAAATCTTTAATATTCATGTAGGACCTTTGGGTTTCTCACATAAAGTAGAATATATACTTTACCCTGTATGCTATACCAGCTTTGGCTCAAATCATTTCATCTGATTAAAGTTGTGTTGGCAAATTCAGAATGTATGAGTTTGTAATAAAACAATTAATAACGACATGAGACAATATGTGGTTAAAGGAACTACATGTTCATGATCACATGCACAAAACTGATTAGTATAAAATGAATTAATTGTGTTAGTTTTCAACTAAGATCAATTCCTGTGAATCACCACACACCACTGCACAAATTAGTTAATGTATTTTGTGATGTTTTGGTTATTATGAAGAAGGTTAGATCATTAATTCAGAAAGTGACACAAATGGTTCCATTTTCAAAAAGACAATTTTTCGGGTCATGTTGAATGTACCTCTCAGATGTATAATGCATGACAGATATTTTAAATATCAAATCTGTCACCCAGAATAAAACTGAAAGTTTTAGGTTACAGGAATCTCTCATATAAAACTAATCATCTTCAATCTGTAAAAAAAAGTTAACTGTAAATTTTCTACATAAACATAAAACAAGTAATTTTAGTATCCTTTTTTAAACTGCATTTCATTTACCATAATCAATCATTATTAGCAAAATTTTCTGTTGATGTTCTTGATTATGTAGAAAATTGAGTGAAACACATAACCTCAAGCATATACATGTATTTCTTAATTCAATAACATGCATGTACTTATGCATTCATACCACAACAGACTTCTCATCGACAACATCAGAATATTCATGAGTGAAATTTGGGGGGTAAATATCCTTAAAAACTTCAAAAGCTTTCACATTCTCAGTCAGAATAAGAGAAATAACATGTATGAGATCATTTCTTAAACTGTCGTTATCAGCAGCTGTTGGAAGAAATTGACGATTGTCAATGTTTAACAAGTCACCAATGGGTTCATCATTTGGAAGATGTTCACAAATGACTCGATCTTTTACAGCCAGCATTTGCACATAATGCTTAGACTGATTTTGATGATCTTCTGTCATATCACGAACCTTAATTAGGAAGTCTAGATTGTCAAAATTGAACCTGTACCCTGGTGAAAATTCAACACATGGGTTTACATGACAATATTCATGGTCAAATTTGTTGTCTGAGACAGAAGGAGTACTGCTTGGTAAATAATCATGATCCATCAACTGCAAATTTCTGTCTTCATTTTGAACAAACTGTTGTAATTTTTTGTTGTTTTCAACGGAGTTTTTTAGCTGCATCATTGTTCTGTCAATGGTGGACTGAGCTTTGGTTAATGTTCTATGAACACTGGAATGGCTGACTGATAATCCAAGTTTGCATAAAATATCAAAGCCTTCTTTCTGCAATTGGCTATTGTACATGGATATGGCAACCAGATGCTGGAGTTTATTAAGATACTTTGATCTGGAGTTTAGCAACACAAATGCTGCTGTTACAACTTTTATTGTGTCATACACTTTTCCATTGCTGAAAGCTACAGTTTTAAGTACATTCCACACAAGGGGAGTAGAGTTTTGAAGTAAAAGTGCTGATTGGCAGATGTCAAATTGAAGTAGATCTTCCTCAGAGGTCTTCTGAAATGCATGTTTTTGACAATGAAGCATATCTTTCGTTGTTTGGTTTACAACATCACACACCCCCTTTATGGATTCTTCTCTTGTAATAACATCGTTACTTCGCAGCATTAGTTTTGTAGCTTTTCTTATGCTCCCCGCCAGCAAGCTTCCAACAATGTGTGACACTCTTTCTTTTACTTCAAAGCTTTTGTACATTCGATTTTCTCTCCGTTTACCAGCACTATATGCTTTTGGGGGTGAAGGCAAACAACACTGCACTTCTTTGTCCAATGTAAGAGGAACATTCTCTTGAAAACTCTCATCCACTGGATAATTTAAATCAGTGCAGTTTTGAAAGTTTAATCGGCATGCCACATTCGGATGTTCTTTTTTATGTACAGTGTTTGCATTTCCCCCTGCATTGAAAAAAAAAAAAAAATAGAAAGTAACATTACACACATGTACCCCCCCCCCCCCCCCCCCGCCATGTACGATTTATAATCGTAGTACACATATACATACATGCATGTACCTAGCTCTCTCAAGCAAAAAGAAATGTAAATTTTTTATTGAAAGCTGTCTGTTTCATTATTAATGGATTTGCATGTTAGGTCTTAAATGCATTTTTTTTCATGCACGTCTATAATAAAATTCATTACCTGGGGAGTTCATTAGACTGGCTCGTTTATTCCTTGCGTCTGGAGTAAGATTTATTATTCTTTTCTGTGATACCCGTACACTCATTTTCTGAGATGATTCGTTTACTCTTTGAACAAGCTTTTGTGTCTGGTCTTCCATGTCCATAATTCGTTGCAGCAACCGCTTACAACCAATGCACAAAAAACTTCCATTATTTTCTTGACATTTGAATGACACATGAAAAAAATTCTCTGCTATACTAGAACTTGGTCCTTCCTTACCATCTTTGCTTCTTACATAGTAACGCTGTTTACTTTCTTGTGCACAAGCGATACAGATATTGATGTTTGGAACAACTGCTGTTATGTTTACTTTCCGCGGTGTCGCCATTAAAATTTAGAGTTAACGTTCTTTAACAGCGCCTCCCCGTGGTGTAAATTTTATCTACAGTATGCTCCAAGGCGTTTGAGTGGGGGGTCAAACGGCTTGCGTGACCTAGGCTATTGTTTACATCAAAATAATTTTATTAATGTCGATCCCGATAAAAAAAATATTCAGTATTCATCATTACTTCTGAAAATGTTTTACGCTGGTTAACACTTCTAAGCCTATCAACTCAAGTTTCTGACAATTCAGTTTTATATTTATAATAGTAGAACTATTTAAAAAAAAATACCCCCAGGAGTTGTTTTAAAGATCGAGCTCGGGAATCACTTAAATGATATTCCGTTGTGAAAGTCAACAGCAAATGAAATGGTAAAATGCGAAGAAAACATTAGTGCACTGTGATTTTGAACTTTTTTTCTGTAAGACTGTCAAGTACTTAAATTGGTAAAGAGTCAGTGATGATTTGTATCATTCGTGAGAAACTAACTAGAAAAACAAAGGACCCCTTTCCATGCACCTTGTATATGTATTTGTCTGTACCTAATTTCTGCCAGATTCTTTATCAGAACAACTAGAATGTATTAAGGGCCATGACAGAACCGTTGTCTCTACAGCTTATCGCTAGACTTGTCTGTGTTCAAAGTCTGCTCGATCTGACGGATGGAAGGGATGTCACAAATTACCTGAAGACGGTGTGCCACAGGTAAAAAGATTAAGTAGCCTATACATGTATATTCTAATATTGGTTTATAATTTCACAGTTGCCTTGTATGGCATCCTTTTTTATTAGATGAATTGATATGAATATATTCACTTACTTGTATACATGTACTATCCACCCCTTGTCTGGGGCTGCAAAATCATTAAGCTTATATATCTCAATGTGGACCTTAACTAAATTGTTATCATGGTTTAACATTTTTCTTTGGGTGAGAAAATAAAAATTCTATAACCAGAGATATTAATTAATTTCTGGTGACGTTGACCATATTTAAAAGTAAAAATGTTATCCACTTAGATGAAAAAAGGTCATGTTTACATTTTTTTCTGAGCTAAATATTTTTTTTAAAGCCGGAAGTTGCTTATAGGTAATCATATTCACTTCAAAAATTAAGTTAAAAAACTTTGATGCTATTACTTATTATCAATGAAACATTTTTTCTGTGGCATGTATCTTAGGGGTGCATTTTATGAAATCACTGCAAAATTCGTCAACAATTTTGTGTTGCTATGACATCCATTTATTGTTAGCACATTTTAGACTTGCTCAAGTCTCTATGTTTGATAACATTTAACTATGAGCGAGAGCAGAGGACAACAAGACAAAAAGGAGCAAAGAGTCATTTAATTAAAAAAAAAAACAACATAGAGACTTGAGCAAGTCTAAACACATTTACATAATGTACTTTATCTAGGGCAAGTACTTCAGCTTAGTATGTTTCTCTTACAAATTGTAATCAAACAAAAACTCTTTTTAAAAAATAGGTAAAAGAATGATAATATGCTTAGCATCTTTTATTGCAGGAAGAACTTGAAACCATTACCCTTTGGAGTGATCATGAAAAACACTCAAACAAATATTCTAAAGGACAGTTGTTCTTCCATTTTAGTGCTGTCACAGAGGACATACTTAGTCACATGGTCAAGTTTTATCCCAGGAAGCTGACCAATGAAATGCTAGCTGGCCTGGCATCTCCACACATACACAACCTCAAGTTAGTGAACTGCACACAGATCAAACCTTCAAACTTCATCAAGATTTTTCCCTAGTAAGTATTCCTATTCAATAGATTTTACTTTCTGACATTGCTGATAGAAATGAGTGAAATTTTATCTGGACCATAATGAATTGGAAAAAGGGGGAATTTTTTTTGTCCCCCCCCCCCCCAAAAAAAAAATATAAATTTTAAAAAAAAAAGGGAAAAAAAAACAAGAGGAACTTGGGATTCTGTTCATAATAACTGTATGTGTCAAGAAATTTACCTTTAGTTATGATTTTTTTTCTCAGCTGTAAGAATCTTCGTGGCCTTGACCTTAAGCAGTGCAGTCAGCTGATGCTGGGAGATTTCTTTGTGTTGATTGATAGGATGGGGCTGAACCTTACTTCGGTTTCGGTAGAAGACTGTATGACAGTGGACGATGTCATTGTTCATGTAAGAACATGCTTATAACGAAGTGCCAGGGATCGATGATTTTGATTCATTATAAATGTAATTCATTTTACAGTGACACCTGTCTAATCTGACATGCACTGGGACACAAATTTTGTGTTTCAGAATAGACAGGGTGTCAGATTGCACAGTATAAAAAACATGGGAAATAGTAAATCAGAAATGAAAATAAAGGTCAGATTGAACAGGTGTTGGATTAATTTAGGCAGTTTTTGCTGTATACATTAAGTTCACAAATATGTTTTAAAGTTATGGGTAATGAAAAGCACTTTGCTCTAATTAAGCTTTAATTCTTTACAAGCGTGTTTGCGATAAGCGTGTTTTACTGTACATTGTAATTAGGGAATGAATAATTTTGATGTGTGAAATATTTTCTTAAACATGTTACAGTGTAAGTAAAAGCAAATAAAAAGGCTTTATTAGAGAAACCGTTCTTGAGTTATCCAATCATTAATGCACGAAGTAAGAAGAAGGTTTTCCATCTTTCAAAAAATGCACTACTACACTGTAGGTGTGTAAACTGTAGTATGGAAAGTAGGAATGAGTTAATATACATTGAAAATTCATAAATATATATATATAATGAAAAACATATGGCTGGACCGGGAATTGAACCCGGGACCCCTGCATTACTAGTCAGGTGCTCTAACGACTGAGCTATCCAGGCCGATGTCCTCAGTCCAGCCTTAATTCTTACATTCCTCCCTCCTTAAATAAGTCTTCACCCCTGAAGACACGACACAAGTTCACCTTGTCAGGACTTAACATTAATTACATATACATATTATATTGCCTGAACAAGGTAGGCCATGGCACCATCATAGTATGGAAAGTAGGAATGAGTTAATATACATTGCAAATTCATAAATATATATATAATGAAAAACATATGGCTGGACCGGGAATCGAACCCGGGACACCTGCATTACTAGTCAGGTGCTCTAACCACTGAGCTATCAAGGCCGATGTCCTCAGTCCAGCCTAAATTCCTACAAAACAAAGAAAAAAATAAGTAGCTAGTTTTTAACATGAAATTTATTTTCTTAACATTAATTTGCAAAGCCTGGAAATATAAGATGTTACAAATGACTATATATTACATGTTTTAGAAAATATTAATTCAGAAAAAAATTGAAATGGATTTGGTAACAGGCAATCCCTTGATACTTATAATATTTTACAAATTGATGCTAGGTATCACAATTATGAAATTCATACAAGGTAGATACTTTTTTTAAAAAAAAATGCCCTATTAAAACAATATTAGTTTTTTGATGGAGGTTCATTTTGTGAAGTTCAAGATATTTGTTTTTATTTCAACTTGTTATTTTTTTTTTATTTTAGAGCATTTTACAGAACCTCCACCATCTTAAGCATCTGAATGTATCGTCCTGTAAAAACATCACAGATAAGGCCTTCCTCTTATCTCAGGATCAGTGTAAAAAAGGGAGGTTACTCATGGTAAGAATTTTTTAATCCCCCCCCCTTACCTTTAATCCTAAAAAAAAAATACACACACACAGATTTTATACTATTTAAATATCACTGACTTGTCTATATCTGTTACAAACCAATACACAGATAATTTCTCAAAGGTTTAATGTAATCAAAGATACAGATTTTACCAGTAAATATGTTGGATTTCATAATTTCCATATTGTGGATCAAATGCAAATGACCACAAACAAGGAAAAGAACTGAAAATTATAAATAATTTTAAATAGTATGAAAATACCCCCCCCCCCTTTCAAAAAAGAGGGGTGGGGGGGGGTGAACATCAGTACACCTGTACCTTTATATAAGTTCATATAATTTTCTATATTTTAGGAGAGCAGGAATCACTCTACACAAAACTATTTATGTTCATTAACCAGTATTGATATATCAGGGTGTCATGGTCTGACCAATCTAGCCATGTATAACCTCGTAACCTTGACTGGTCCGACCCTGGAGCATGTCTGTATGTCTTGGACAAATGTAAGTACATGTATTGTTTCTTATTTAAAAACACAGTTGTATTTCTACATACAAAGAGTATTTTTTTCTGTGTACTAAAAACATTTACTGGATCATTTTAGGCACAAATGAAAAATAATGCATGAGTTGAGGGTTTCCAAAATGCCCTATCTCCCCATCTTTCTAATTTTTTGCCCTGCCATGAAATTGTCAGGGAATATGGTGTTATTCCTTTCCATCCTTCAGTCTTTGGCATTCCCTCATTCCATCAAAGTTACTTTCTGGAATTTTTTCCCTGTGCTTGTAGATACATATGTACTGAGCTCAGCTGATAGAGTTATTTCCATCAAGTTTTGGTTTCTTGTTGCATGTGTGGGCTTATATGGCTTTGTAAAAGTCTGGATCTCTCTCTATATAATTTATTGAGAAATATATCAAAATATGTAATAACAAAAGAAAAAACAGAAATGAAAATTCGATGAGACTAATTTTACATTAAATCATTCTTTAGTTAACGCTGGAATCTCTGTGGTGTCTCTCTGGTCTTCTTGTCCCTAAAACATTCCTTGGATGTGAGACAGAAGATGAAGATGAAGAGATCTTCAATAACAATATAGAAGATGAAGATACAACAAAAGCCAGACAATCTAGTTCCTCTGAATCTAAGGATGTACACATACAGTATGACACAAGTGTTCAGTCTGTCAAAAGTGATTCCACTTCTCATATGCTTCCTGAACAGAATCTGGATATGACGGAATGTGATAAATGTGATTCAAACAGTTCAGATTTGGTTTATCTCAACATTCTAGATGACACTAACTCTTCTGTCAAAAATGATGATATATCAACTATTGATTCTGAAAAACTTACCTCTTCCCAAAGCCAAAGCAGTGTCTCTTGTAAGGACTGTAGAACATTGTGCTCCTTAAGTGAAATACAGGTAGACCTAAATAACCATCCATATGATGCAACCACCAATGAAATTGATGAAAATATTGATACAAAAGAAAATGAAGGCGAAAAAACTTTCAGAGACGAATGCAATGGAAATTTGACTGATGTGAAAAATTTTGGTTCAGGTGCAGGCACTGGAGAGACTTGGGATTTCAATGGAAAGAAAGAAAATAGTGTTACCATTGTGTCTTCTTCAATCTCCTCAAATACTTCAAAGGACCTTCAGTTTCCTTCAAAGTCTGGCCCATTATCAAATCCAAACGGAGCTAACATTGACATGAATTCTCTTGAAAATGTCAGTGAAAGTAAAGAACTGTCCACTCAAATTCTAAAGACTTGTGCGAAATCAGAATCCCAAGATGAAACTAATTGCTTAACGGTTGGAAACAAAACAACCCATTCTGTAGAGACAAATTTGAAGTCCAGTAGTGATATTTCTGAATCTTGTGACAGTTGCCAAACTACAAAAAAGAATTGCTATACATTTTCTTCTGGAAATAAGCTCTTGTCAGATGTGCCATTTATTGTACATGAATTAGAATTACCTTGCTCTCCTGACAAAGAGAAAACTGTTAACTTTGAGTGTAGACCTCATAAAAGCAATGATTCTCATACATCAGAAAATCTGTTAATGGAATCGAACAATGTTCCCCAAATTATATTACAAGCTTCACAACAACTTAACCAGGAACAGTCAACGAACAGCTCTCAGTTTGAAATCAAGAATGAAAATCTTATATGTCACATGAGTGAACTGTCTTCCACAGATAAGAATGGCCAAACCTTAGGTGCTGAAAGCATGCCAGATAATACTGAAATCAGACATCCTTTTCAGTGTTCTGAGGAGAAGAATATTCACACAGATAATACTGTTTTAAATGGTATGTGTTCGTACCACAGCTCAGATGAGTATGCCAAACCAAATGGAGTTGGTGCTAATGATTCTGTATCACCCTTGGAAGGGAACAATGAAAAACAGTCATCTGCAAGTTCCAGTGCTTCTATTAATCTGCAAGTACACCAGGGATCCACCATAGTTGATAGTAACAGCCCCACTCAAGGTCCTACTTCTCTGGGAAATCTCACAGAGAATGATTCTAACAATTGTCAAATAGAGAGTCGGCAAAATATTGGTGACCAGCCCCTGCCCCCTATGAAGCAACTGTATAAACCAAATATCAAATCAATAGACTTAGAGGAATTGCATTATCCAAACAACAAACAGCAGGCTTTAGAAAATGCCTTTAATATATTTATAACAAATAATCCAGGTCTTCAGTCATTGAAGTTGTCATGGATAAAGTTTCCAAATCATCTTTTGAGACTTATGGTAGATACATGTATAGAAATTAAAGAATTAACTCTGATTGGTTGTAACTTGATTGATGCTGAGCACATTCGATATGTTGGATCAAAGTGTATGAACCTGAGGAAAATTGAGTTGGAAGGTATAGTTCTATTTTTTGACAAATATTTAAGTGAAAGTGTCAAGCACAGTATGACTTTATGTATGTGTTGGACTTAGTGTAATCTTTTGGCTCATTTTCTCGATACAAAAACATTGCAATGATAAAGCTGTTTTGCAATAGTAAAAAATTTAAACGAGTACGAATTCACTTGTAATACACTCACTGATTCTCATTTTACAATAAAGAATAATAAAAAAAACCAACTAAAATCACCTATAATTAAGATTAATTATGGAAGAAAGATGTCACAAAAATATATTTTGCCTAAGACATGCAAATTCAGTTATTTTATTGAATGAGCTGTTTGTTTTGCTTTCAGACATACGAAGAATGACTGATTGGGGCGTGGTTCCTCTTCTCTCCAACACTGAGATTGGAACATTGTCATTGGCTGAGTCAGATATCCATGACGTCACTGCAATTAGAATGGCATCTAAACTGTCTGAAAATGTAGGAACTGTAGGATAAGAATACTATTGATATAAGTTTACACATACAGATCGTGTCTTCATATTGTAGCTCCACTGAAGATGACAGAAGAGATTATGCATTGGTACATGTAAGGTGTCTCTCGTCTTTTAGTCTGCCTGTCTAATGTTTGTCTGTAGACAATTTGACAAATTATGCTATTCCGCCAACAGTTTAATTCTGATTTCTGTGAAACTTAGATTACAAGTAAACTGCATCAAAATGCATTAATTTTTCCATTATTTATTTTTATTTCTATATAAAGTTGCAGTGGTTGCCAAAAAAAAAAAAAAAAAAAAAGAAATTCAATCTATGGATTTTTTTTCACAACATTTCTCATCCTTGAGTTTTATCTGATTTTAAAAACTCTTGGTATTCTTAGTCATGTTAATAGGGTTACAAAGATCAGTTAATATTTTTGATCAATGGTCCATTGCTACGAAAAAGAAAATTATCTGTGGAAGTTAAGCAAAACGCAAAAAAAAAAAAACAATTTGAAAACAACATGCAAACAAAAACAGACAAACAAAAAAATTAAGACTGCACACTGCTTATAGCTACATGTATGTTTTTTCAAGTACTAATAATGTTTATTTCAATTTTATTTGAAAATATTCATTTTCATCAATAAATGTTTTTGCTGGTGATTTTGCATTATAAAAATTCCATCTATTTCCAGCTGAAGAATTTAAACATTTCCTATTGCTCAGAATTAACAGAGCGTGGAATTAACTCCCTTCTCCGGAAGCAAAGTTGTATGGAATCCTTAAGTGCTCGACAGGGAGCATTAACAAATCTGTCGTTATGTCTTTTGAGTGACAACTTCCGGCAGTTACGCAGCCTTAACATTGCTAGCATCGAGGATATATCTGGGAGTGGCCTTGTCTGTCTAGCAAAGAATCTACATCACCTAGAGTTCATCGACCTCAGTTGGGCTGGCGGATCCTGTATGTGGCTTATATATTATAATGGCAATTTAGAATCAGCAAAATTTTAGGTTTAAAAAATAGTTTTTTCCCCAAAATTTTATAAAATGTCTATTGCCTATTCCTCAAAGTCGATTTAGCCGTACATAAGCTTCTAGATATCTGGAAATGGAGATATTAACAGTGTTCAGCTGTATTTTGTTTACATGCTCATTACAGAAGTTTAGTGACGAATTTCAATGATGCTTTGTTTCATGTTTCAGGCTTACAAGATGAAGTAACAAAAGCAATCCTGAATCACTGTCCAAGGATTAATGAAATGATTTTGAATGGTCAAGCTTTGATGACATCTAAACCCTTTCTTCCAATTATATCAGGTCAGTTTAACCACTGTACCTACAAACTTCTCTGTGTGCCAACTAGTTGGACAATATTTGTTCTTGGTCAGTCCTTGAGGGCTGTTTTTCGAAAATGTCTAATTCACGAACACCTAGAAAACAATTAAATAAGACTTTGCTCCAAGTTTGCTGCTAACATAAACACATAAAACAGCTTGTATACTGTGGAATCATCAATGTTCGCGTATTTTGTGAGTCATGCGTGTAGGTGTTTTGGAGATCGATCACAATTCTTTATATTCACTTTTTAATTTAATGATTCTTCTGTGTAAATAAGTTACCCAGGAAATGAGGTCTTAATTACCAGTAATTTTTTGGTTTCCAGGGAACATTGACCCCCTTAAATTCCAACAATTCCACAGTATACAGTGAACAAAGTGCACACTCTGTCAAATGGTCCGTCAGGGTATTCGCCATGTCTCTGTTATGAAAGCTTGCTAAATATTATGACTTTTGTCATTTACTTCCTTTCTTCTGCCAAACAATGACTTCAAGTAAAACTTTTTAAAAAATGTCCTGAGTATAATCATCAGCCATTGATAAAAAAGTTGTCGGGAAACTTCATTATGTGTCCTTAAAATAGTGGAAATGCCATGCAAATAAATGCTGCACATCCCTATTAATCATGTGCAACAAATCTAAACTAATTCATAGAAAAAATATGCCTTTCTGTAAAAAGAATGAGTGCACTTATGGGCCCCGGTAAAATGTGAAAAAATGAAGAATCAAATTAAGCATAATTTTTCATCTCAGATCATTAATTGATATCTAAACCATAAGATTTAACAAATTTTATCGGTGAAATTCATGAATATACAAAGAGCAAAACCATACAATGTGGTAGGGGTTAGCCGACATTCATGATTTTCTATAGTAAATTGAGGACGGTCATTCATTTCAAAGCTTTTGTTTACTGTCAGCCTAACGTTGTACAAACTTGTGCGAATGACAAAAAAAACCGCATTATACATTTATAAAACGTGTGTGAAAGTAGGAAATTTGTACAAGATTAGGCTTGTACTTAAAATATTAAAAATGTATGAAAAGTTCAATGTTTTTCCTATAGCAAACGAGAGCTATTTACCTGTATGACCTTTGTTGAACCCACCATTGGAATAAATTATTTAAAATACCGGCAGTCACGTGAGTTCTACCCAGGTAAATATTCCTCAAAGGTGCTCACTGTAAAAGATAGCCACGTTTTGTATCATTTTATAGAAGTCGTGCCGCATAGAGAAGTTTGTATGTATTTGATTTTATGAACACGGGAGGGTTAGGAGAGTTTAGTGTCGTTAAAATGTCATCATACACAAAAGCGTCAAATATTTTTGATATTCATTCAAGACAATGGTACCGGTAATGAAAGTCATCTAAATACACTTTTTTCATTTTAAAATTTAAAGGAGCTAATGTTAATACTTATTGTATTATTTCAAATGTAAGCGTGCAAATTTCTTAGTTTGATCACTATGGCTACAGGCATCTATACAATTTCATTCGATTTTTTCTCTCAGGTAAAATAGCGCAAGATAATCTTTCGAAAAACGTGCCTGTCAGTGATCCTCCATCAGATTGTTCAAGTGTCCGATTTAAATGTCTCCTCCCCTTGATTTAAATAAACCAAACTCAAAATAGGTTCGGCACGACTTTTGCGGATTTGGGGTATCTATAGGCATTTAAAAATCTTCATTTGTTTTAAATCCATGCTGATTTAGGTGATGTTTTAACGTGATTTTAATTAGAAATATCCACTTGTGTTTAACTATTACCGAAAAAGAACAATTTGATAATATCTTCTCAAGTAAAACGGCACTGAAAAAGGGCCCATTAAGCATTGCTTAAGTGCACTTGCACTTTGATTCCAAAATTTAAAATTAAATGAGAGAAGTGATTGCCTGCCGTAAGTGAAGTGTTTATACCATTTTAACAGTTGTTTAAGTACAATCATGCTAGAAGTCTTATTGTTTGAGTGTTAATTGTAGAGAGCAATTTTATTTATTTATTTTCTTTTATTTCATATTCATTGATGGCATTGCATTCCTCAAAACATAAAATAAAATTCGAAATGAACAATTCTTCTTAATATGATTTTAAATTTCTTTTAAGAAAAGAGATTTTTTTTTTTTTTTTTTTTTACATATTCTTATTAACATTAGTCTTTCCTTATAATATTTTTACTGTATTTTTTTTAAAGGGTATTAATTGATATTTCAGATTATGATAAATGGAGTAGGTGTAAGGCCTTGTTCTTCTTCAAGGCCAAGGAGAGGGCAGCGAAGGAGGTATTGAAAATCGACAATGAAGGAGAATCAAGTGATGATGTATGTATAATATTCATATAAGTTTTTGTTTTAAATGGGATGCAGCACTTGAAAATTTAATTTCTTGTGAATGTGTAATTTTGATCACAGAAAATGTTCCGTTTGATATTGATTGAAGAGGAACATACAATAAACAAAACTGCTAAAATACCATAATAGAAGATTAATTTTGTCCTTTTCAAAAGTTGTTTAAGACATATCAGATATATAAATAAGTAACCATGGTTTGAAGTAAGATGTTTAATTGCCTAAACAGGTAAATAAATAAATTGATAAGTAAAGCCTAACCATTTCATAGAAATGCTTGAAAATCTTGCTCACGCGTATTCAAGAATAAATTTCAATTTTCTTTGGAATTGTGTTCCTTATGTTTGCGTTCATTAAAAACTCAGAAAAAACCAGGCTGGGTATGCAGCGTTTTACTAAAGTAAAGCTTAGTAGGGCAGTTGGTGTCAGCAAGGTGTTCGTTTTGAAATGTTTGGTTAAAAATAAAACCATTAAAAAAATTGTTGTTTCTGTTGGTTTGAAAGTACTTTGAATAGATTGAGAAATGTAAAAAAATGTCTTCTGTGGGTAAACACGACATTTAATAGACACCACACGCCTACTGCAAAATTGTACCGTAACATTCTAGAAACAGGGTTTTAAACGTGTTTATAGGGAACGGATTCAAAGCACTTAGTCACTACTAGGGCACATATTATTATACATTTAGCTTAACATCCTTTGAGAGACAAGGTCACCATCACTTTTGCAACCTCTCTGCCTACCATTTGTTATCGCCAACCTTATTTCAGCGCACAAAAGGTGCGCAATCGATTTCGGAAAACTAGTTTGAGTGCAAGATATCCATATGAGGGCGCTGTGCTGAGATTAAGACATCGGCAAATTCGACTGCAGTAGGCAAAATATCAATTTACATTTTAATAATCGTGTCGAAGAGGCAGATGTCGAATTTGCAGATGAAAACACTGAGTGATGCGTTAGCAATTACATGTATTTCTAGTGTATGATGAAAAATTTAAAAAAAAATATGAGTCTGAGTTGAGAAAAGGACACTGAATTTTGCATGGAATTTTTAGAAGATTTTTCATTTGAATTAATTTGAAACTGTTTTTATATGAAATTTTCAGGAGACACATTTGGCTGTCTATTCAAAGGGAAGTCATAGAATGGTACTTCTATTCTATGTAAGTGTGATTAAGAGAGTAAACTTTCTGATGCACTTTATTACAGGAATATGAAGAAGTTCACTTCCCGCACCGTTCCACCAACTTTGCTACAAACCTTCAGTCTCTGTGTCTTGAGTACTGTGACAGTATCACTGACACAGACATGGAGGACATAGTTACCGTGTGTAGGGGATCCATAACAGTGATAGATTATTATAGCTGTGAGGTGCGACCAAAACTACTTACACTTAGAAAATATGAAATAAAAGACTTGTCCGGTGCAAAAAATTACTGAGTGATGTGGAAATTGATATTGGAGAAATGATAAAAAAAAAAATGTATGTCCTTTGTAGGGGGTTCATAAGAGTGATAGATTATTATAGCTGAGAGGTGCGACCAAAACTACTTACACTTAAAAAATTGAAGTTAAAGATTTGCCTAGCGCAAAAACTGACTAAATGGTGTGGAAATTGATATTGGGAAAAAAATAAAGTGTATGCCAAATATTTTATGTATTTTTACTGCAGTGAAGACATGAATATGACAAAGTACAGTCAAAGTCACCAGAGACTTGACAATTGATGAGCTAACAACCATTTTGATTCTAGTAGTTCATTAAATGAATGTGTAAGTCGTATGCATATGAAATGAACTTGTGTGCCAGTACAAAGCACTTCATTCTGTAATACACCAAGTTATAAAATATTTGAAATATAGAAATAAAAAAGAACGAGTTGTGCCTATCTGCTAAGATTTTACAAGAACACAAATTCAGAAGGCGATGAAAATAACTTTAAAAATAAAGGAAAGAAAATGGCCAAAAATGTAATTTAAGTGGTGATGTTTGATAAATTTGTTTAGGTATTAAATGATGCACCAAGGATAGTGGTGAAGCAAAGAATGGTATTTTCTACAGTTAATGTAAAGGATTCAGAAATAATTTGCCAATCGTATAATGTTTCCTTATGCAGTTCCTGTAGGTCGTACACCAACAACTGTTTCAGCCGATCAACTGAGTTAGCATTGATCAGACTTTAGATGAATTACATTGTAAAGTAATGCGTAACATGTTAATGTGTGCATTTACAAAAGGGTAGGAAAAATATACTTAGGTAAGGATTTATTCACTGCAAAGTTTCAATTGTATGACCAAAACATGCCATATCACTATCTCATTGGCCAATTTGAATAGGATTTCAAATACGAAAGGATGGGGCAAGAATGGATGCCTCAAATCTTTTTCAGATTTACACCCTACAATACATTGTCTGATATTTTTGCATGGGTGTATATCTATCTATCTATCTATCTATCTATCTATCTATCTATCTATCTATCTATTCTTGAATTAATATGAAATCATAATGGTAAACAAATGAGGTTCTGCATATTTTCTAAAAGCTGTTCTAAAAATACCTTTGACAATATTTGTAAGAATTTTTTTGAAGATTTCTTTTCCTTGTGGCGTTGTAGTAATATGCATTATGAAAGGCCTTAATTTATTGAGTATTACTTTTAATCCACTTTAGTAAACGCCCTTTCTTCCCTATGAAAGCCATACAATCGATAAAACCGGTAAACCCTAACAAAAAAGTACTATAGTTTACTTTAGTTAACTTTAGTTTACTTATTTAATTATAGTTTATCAAAGTTTTTACTAGAGTAAATCAAAGTGTTTTCACCATTGATTTCAGATCATTTTATTTTTTTTTAATCCCTACAAGCAATTTCCCTTTATTAAATAGATATATATACTTGTATATTTACAATATATTTTGAAAAAAATTTGCATTGATATGAAAATTCAAGAAATATATATTAAGGTTGTAATCTTCAAAAAATTCTAGAGTAAAGTTTCATAGTAAGTCGAACTATTTATCATAGTTAACTACAGTAAACTGTGCATAACTATAGTAAATTTTTGTGAGGGAATTCATTCCAGTGAAAGATTTCAATGGCACTAGTGGTCTAGATCCGATCTCAGTAGATGCATTTCATTATTCAATGACCTTGTCATTTACAGTAAAACATAACATGTTAACCAATATACTGTGAGTATACAACAAAATACACAATATTTGATATCTACCTTTTAATGTTTTTTTAATTGCAATATTTCCCCCTGCTTTACATTTTTCTCTACTTATAATGATAAAATCACAATTCTGTTATAACTCCTAATCATCAACCCGTATCTCTTCTGATAGAGATCTAAAGTAATTGTCATGAGGTCTAATCGTATCTCCAAGTTTGGATCGAAAGGCTGTTACTTCATCCTTATCTCCACCCTCCGGAAATTCTATATAAGATTTTGATTCAATCAAATCCATGAATGAGAATGGCAATTTTTTCATGGCGTCTTTCTCTAATGCCACCAAAAGCAAGACATTTTCACCATTTCTTGAATAAATGGCTTCCATACGTGCCATGTTGAGTTCAAACATGCACCAGTATGATTGTAAAAACTGTGAAGATATGACACAGACGGTTTTCCTGCTATGATGAATGGCGTTCGTGATATTATCTGCTATCCCTGTTCCAGGGATGAAATCACGATGATGTATACACAGCCTTAGATTGAATTCCACTTCCAAACGCTTAACAAGGTCGATAACAAATATTCTGTCTTTGTCAGCGTAAGAAACAAATGCGTCAAAGTAAAAAGAATCCTCTCCTAATGCGTTTGGCCCTTGTACACTGTATTTTTCCCTTGCCACGTAATACATATATCTCAGTTTCCACCTATATCTATAAAGAATACGGCTGATGGTGATTGTTAAGAGGACGATTATTAATGACGTCATAATGACGATGATGAGAGTATACGAGGAACACTGCTTCTCCATCAATTGGATTAATTCGATATTTGAGAATCGAATCTTCGAGGAATTTGATAAAGTACACATATAGTCATCAAAATGAAGGAAAACAACATTTTTTGAATTAAGCACCCATTTAACGAATTCTAAGTTTTCACAGTTGCATCTTAACCTATTGCCATTTAAATTCAATGAGACAGACTTCTTTAGAGATATTGCGTCTAGCATGTTCCTAGTTGTCTCATTCATTGTCGAAATCTGGTTATTTGAGAGGTCTAGATTCTTCAAATGAACCATATGACTTAAAGGTAATGTAAACTTACTCAAAGAATTAAAACTGAGGTTTAGATTTTCAAGATGAATGAGATTTCGAAATATTTTTGCCGGAAGATGAACGATCCTGTTTCGTGTAAGGTTCAAAGAGGTTAGCATGCGCAGATTTTGAAATATATCTCCATCGATGTCATTTTCAAGAGTTTCCCCAAGGGCATTATTGGAAAGATCAAGTTGAGACAAGTTTTTGAAATCTTCGAAAAATCTCGGCGAAATATAGCTGCAAAAATTGTTTGAGAAGTCTGCATGAAAGATGCTTTCTATGCCTCTAATCGGACCATTCAGTTTGTAAATAATATTGTTCTGCATATAAACATGAGAAAGCATAGGATTACTAATAAATTTGAATGTAAAGTCTTGAAGAGTCATTTTATACAAATTATCGTGAAAATAAAAATATTGTAATGTCGATGGCAGGGAGATTGTGATATTTTTTGGTCCTGGTAAAGATAGCCATTTGTTCACAAACAATTCTCCATGTTTCGTCCCAGAGGAATTGGTACATACCGGTTTCGTATCATTGCAACCTATGAAAAAGTCCTCCAATTGTAATTGATGGAAGGAGGACTGAAAACTTGCATTTATGCTCACCAAATTGACCAAATTTCCGAATTCTACTAAATATAACCCAAAACTGAGTACATTATTGGCCAGATTTAGATGCATCAGTGACTTGGGTAGTTCAGAGAAAACACCTAATTCAAGGCTATTGATGCGGTTTGATGCCAAGTTAAGTTCCTCCAACTGTGTATGTTTAAGATAAGTAAGGTGATATCTTTTAACAATAAAACTTACTCCGTACGTGCACTGCAATTTTTCAAAATTTAAAACTCGGATAGAAGTAGAATTTCTTAAATCACTCGATATGTTAACCAAAACCTCTAGTGTCAGTTCTTGATTACTGGAAATATCTAGGTGTACAAGCTTTGAGGAGTTTTGAAAGGAACCCAGTTCAATCGCCTGAAGTGAGTTTTCAGAAATGCTTAAATTCCTCAGGAAATTATATTCTTCCAATGATCGTTGATTAACGTTTCTTATCCTGTTCCTTGAGATGTCCAAGTAAACGACATTTTGAGGAAGAGTTGTAGGAAAATTGGAAATTTTGTTATTAGCAAGATTTATTCCCGTGACGGCACTATTAAATGATGGTACGGATACAAGACTGAGGCCTTCACAATTTGCCCATAAATGTTCATTAATATTAAGACACACGCATTTTTTGTTTGAAGAACAATCCAGGGCTCTCACTTTCATTAATGTTGCAGTGATGACAAAAAGTCCCAGTTCAATCACTAGGAAGTTCATAATTCTACAAAGTAAATAAATAAATAAATAAAAACATCTATAGTACAGATACTATTTTGATGTCAACTATAAAAATAGCATTTGCAAAAACAGAGCAAATGATGTCTTACAGACTAAGGAACTCCTTTTTACAGATTTTCCATTGATATTTTCCTAACTAATCATGCTAGGTTGTGTTAAATTGTGATTTTTATTTTGTTATTTTATTGTAATGTTTACAATATATCCTAAACATGGCATGTATTTGCATACATACTTTGATTTATTTCTGAACATTTAAATCCATTTATACAGTTATGTGTTGCTTTTTTGGGCTGAATTAGATTTTCTTAAAATGTTGATTAACTAGATGCTTGACAATTGAAAAAAAACCTTCTTTAAAAAATAGTTTTGTCCATTTTTGAAGAAATTTTCAAGCAACGCAAGGATGAGGAAATGTACACACATTCTAACTAAAACATATGAGGATTCTTTTAAAATGAAATATTGATTTTTTTTAATATTTGGAAAAGGGTACTAAAGCATATATAAATTTTTCTTTTTTTTTTTTTTTCGAAATAAATTTACATCAAAACAAAGAATTCTTTATATTATTCTTGAACAAAGGATGAAGCTGTGCCAAAACATGCGCTTAATCAAATATGTATTTTCTTTGTGTTTTTAAAGGGCATTTAAGGGAAATTTAGCGGCGGATCTTTTTTTAGAACGCCTCAAAAATAATCCTGACAATTCTTTGAACCAGGAAGTTTAAAAATTTACCCTGATTTTAAAGTGTGTTTTCCAGTACTAAAGTTCACTTGGATTTAAATGCAACTGTAAGTGCTTCATGATCCTCGTGTGCAAGTGTTAATATCGAGAATGGAGTTCTGTAGCCAAAACATGCAATTCGAATTAAATAAAAAAGAAGGAAATGTATTTCAGCAAATTAAATTCAATTTTAAAAAGAAATTATAAAAACCGAGTTCATTGAAGCCTGGGAAAAAAAGTCATGAAAGCTGAGCAATCTTGTCTGTCAATGCTAAAACCAAAAGCATTTGCCCCAAATCTTATACTGTGTATACTTAAAAAAAGCGAGCTTCATATTTTAGCAGCTTTGGCGCGGACAGCGATGCGCTAATTCATGAATACCGCTAAGAAATCATTTACTAATACAATACACGGCATGTGTAGCGCTAATTCATGATTCTGCCAACAACTACACACCCCTTGATTGCGTTAAATTTTGAATGCGCCAATTTATGTATACATACAGTATATTATTCATCCGCATATTACATGTATGTATGAAATCACATTTGGACCCAGTCTAATTAATTTTAAAAAATATTTATATTCATCACAATATTAAAGCCTAATTGTTTTATATGAATTATAAAAAGAAGTAAAATACCCTGTTTGACAGAGTACACAAACCTTTCAGAACTTAATCCTCCTTATTCTTTCTCGCTGAGGTCAGATAAATTAAGACATTCCATAAAATCAAATATAACATGAATTTAAAACCCTTCTATTTTGCATTTAAAAGCTAAATAATGAAATGAAAGGTAGATTTATAAATAGCTACAGATAAAAATAATAATAAAAAAACCAGGGTATTTACATAAATCATTCATCATTGTTCAAAATAGTAAAAAAGTAATGATTAAAAAAATTCCTAATTTTTGTTTACCTTATATTGTCCACATGTTAACTTCCATGGGTATGTATGAAGTAAATACCTCCACATCCCCTATATAGTCTGCATCATTGACAATGCAGAAAATTAAAAGGTTTTTCCGTACATATTAAACTACATGAACTTTTAAAACTTGCCTATTTCATAATTTGTTAAGTATGACCTACATTGTTGATGCACAGCGCAGCCCTTGACTTAGAAGTCTACTTTATCTGTATGTTTTCTTTTCAACAATGTATTTTTCTGCTAATATCATAAGAAATGGTGAACTCTATTTGATTAGAAAATGGGGGAAAACACCCATAAATAATAGACGATGTAGACGTCGTTGTGTTATATTTATCCTGCCCCAAGATGGAGACAGGAAATTCCAAAAGTTTCATTCAGAATATGATCCTTAGGTTAAATTTCAATTCTACAATGCAAGTCATACTTGTATTCATCCTTTATTCACGAAAGAAAATCTATGGTCTTTAACTGTGAAATATAACACTTTAAACTTTGTACGTGACTTTGAGAGAAAAAAATATGTGAAAACTCATAAAGATGATAATTAAAAGTGTACAAAGTGTATATCATGGTAAATATTTTGAAGTAGGTTGAAGTTGCATCATTTAAAAGATTCTTTTTACTATTGATCAGGGACCCGTTTTACAAAAGAACTTACGACTAAGACAGAAAACTTATATTGATTGTAAAATTTTGCAAAATAAATGATATTATTTAAAATTGAAAGCCTCAAAATATCTTACTGTATTCCTTTCAAAAAGATAAAAACCATTTTAATATAATGTAAGTTAAAAAGTTACAAGCATAATTAAATTTTGGTCTTAGTCGTAAGTTTTTTGTAAAAGGGGCCCCTGGTCCTTAAACACGAGTTCATCATAACTTATGGGATATGATATGGAAGTTTCTATATTAGGGGGAAGCCGGTCATCTGATTAGATAGTAAAACACCCAGGGCTTCCCATCATTTGAAATTTTTTTCTTTCGCAAACCAAGCACGATGCACAAATATCTGCGGTATTCGCAAAGATCAAATTCGCACAACTTTTTTGTATAACTAGTTTGATATTCAAATGCCATGATGTGCATATTTATAAAATTGAATTTATGGTCATTTAAAAAAAAAAAAATAGAATGTTTCCAATATAAAATTATGAATACACTAAAACTCAAACAGTCTGATCTGTAACCCCCCTCCCAATATAAAGGTATTTTATATAGAAATAAATAAAAATAACTACGATTTAAAAAAAGGTATATATCGTTTTGTATCAGTATCTACATGTAATTTTTAAGCCCTTAAACTCTTAAATATAACTTTATATATTACACTTACATTGAAGAGCAGAGGACATTCTGGTTTGTCATTCAATCGAACTATTTACCATCTATAAAAATAAAATTGTCATGATTCTTGTCATGCGACCGTTTTTGAATTAAAAAAAAAATCGGAATAATAAAATACTTTAAGGGGGATTAATTTTTCAACATTACATAATTAATGATTACGATACGATGTTTGACTCGCAGTGCCAACACAGTTTTAGAGACGTTGTTTTAAAGTAAAGACACACAATTAATCGGTGTTAAAATTCAACTAACATTTTAATAATTATATTTGGATCGTGAAAACAAATGGTTTGTCTTTGTTCATTCAAGAGTAATGTCGAATGATTGATTAGGATATAATTGGCAATGCTAGTTGAAAACAGACTATAAGCCCTCATTCAGAGTAATTCTACTACGGTTATCGCAAAGATCAAAGAAATGCCGCGGCCATTATTTTCCAATCAATTAAAAACGTCAGCAATAAATTAGCGATAATATTTATTCGGTTTTCATTGATTTTGACTGCCTTCACTAGGAAAAGGATAGAGGTATATTTTGATTGTGACGCACATTTGGGGGAGGTATAACTTTGGGTTCGGATTACATCGCACTTTTTCTAATCCTTGAGACACAAATGAACGAGGATTTCTTTCAATTTTGACGTCATAAGACACTTATGATGACGTCCAAAACTAGCATTTGCCAACAAAATTTCTCGACTATCGGGTTATATTCTCCAACAATTCCTCCGAAACGGAAATTATTTCTTAAATTAAATGTTCTGCATTGAAAATTGTAAAGAGAATTTATGTTCCTGATTTTTTGACCTTCGCAGATCATACTGTGGCACAAAATTTTTACTGCGTTGCAAGCATGAAATATGAGATATTACTGTGGCGGGGACAATTTTTTCTGTGGCGGGGCCGGCACAGTAAAATAGTTCATGGAGAACTCTGAAACATCGTTTCAAAAACATATTCAATTGTATTGTTAGGTCACCTGAGTCACTCAAATGACCTATTGCTATCTGGTACGTCTGTCGTCGTGTGTTGTCGGTTGCCCCCCCCCCCCACCCCCCCCACCCCACCCCCAAACCCATCCCCTGGGGGTCAGAGGGAGAATGCAAAACGATCAGGACAATTCAATCTCAAAACATATTCTTCTTTCCTCCTGGATATAAAGCAGTCAAACTGTTGGAAAAATTGTAATAAGCATTGTGTCCTCTACGAAAACTAGGAAATTCGTGGCCAAGCATCATGGATTCTTATGTAAGATTGTCCAGAGCTCTATTGGTCATATAGTTAAAATGCACAAAACTTTAAAAATCTTCTCTCCCCTGTATATTTAGCAAACAAGCATTGCGTCCTCTACCACCAAAATTAGGAAGTTCAAGGCCAAGCATCATGGATTCTTGAGAAAACGTGTGCAGAGCTCTATTAAATCTAAAGTGAAAATGCATAAAACTGTATGTATTTAGCATACAAACTAAGTGCACGGTTATGAAGAACAAGGATGTCCCTTCCAAAATTGGCAAATTCAATGTCCCTGGGGTTCTGCTGTTAAGGCGTGGCTATAGCTAGTATATAGCAATATGTATTCGTTGAAAATATCTTTTTCTGTCTTTTGGTATTAAGCTAACAAAAAAAGTGCTTGATAATGATGAACAAATTTGTCTCCTTTAAAATTATTAAATTTGTAACCCCTGCATCAGGTCTCTCGTGTTTGATCAGGGGATCTATTTATCAGAAAAAACTGTATTATTTCTTTGATTGTTTTTCTTCTTTGTGGCTTTCTAAAAAACAGAGTATAAAGCATTCATAAACAAAAAAAGGTTTTCTACAGTTTGTAAAGTTCTATACCACTTGGTCAAGCGTTCCGATGCTCTACTTTGAGATACAGTGCAGGGGACTAATTTAGTCGCATAAATCAGCATCAGCATAAGCAAAATAAGCAATAAGCATCAG